TTCCGACAAATCCTACTTTAAAGTATAGTAGCAATATAAATCAATGAGTATTTCTCAAAAACGTTTCAGCAGGATATGAAAAACATTTTAAAGTAAGAAAAATACTTCAAGAAAATTTTGAATAAAATAATTGTTTGAATTCAAACAGATATTTAATTCTTAATTTTTATAATTCTTATTTGAAACAAATTGATTAGAGGGAGAAAAAAAGAATGAAATACTATTATCTTAGATGAGAAAATAATGATAATGGAAAATGGGGTGTACTGTGTTAAAATACGACACGAAGACCAGGAAATGCTGAAACGAAATAGGGTAATTGAATGATCCTACTGAAATATTCAAGTGTTGAAGTACTCTGCTAAACGTATTCGTGTTAAATGTAATGAAGATTCTAGATGAAAATGCGAAGAAGGTGCAAATTCGAGGGAAATGTGGATAAATTAAAAAGAATTTTTTTTTGCAACGAGTATGATTAAAAATTTTTTAGAAAAACAATATGTTAAAACAAAGAACGAGTATTATTTGTATTAGCACAAATTCGAATAATAATGTTCGTATATTTTCGAGGAAATATCGTATATACTTAAAATGAAAATTAAAAAAAATTTGTTTTGAAACAATATTTTTTTTTTCGCTCATGATCCTCAGCATTGTGAAAGTAGAATTTAATTAAAAAAAATTTTCGCGTATCTGCATATTTATAATTTTATTAAATTAGAAAAAAAATAATAACAAGCATGAAAGATAATTTAATAAATTTATGATGCTTATAATTTATTTTATACAAATAATAAATTATAACAGGAGCTGTTTCAATATATTCCATATTCTGCTGAATTACACAAACCTATTCTTCTGTTATATATTCTAATATGTGGATTATTTAAAAAATGTTAAAAGAAATGTATACAACATATCGAAATTTCTACAAATATTCGTTAAAATGCAAGCTGCAAAAGGTGATGTAAAAATATAATATCATTGGAAATACATTTCTAAGTTGAGAATTCAATCGATATCGCATAAATCATTCTTCAGATATTTTCATCGTGGTCTCATCCTCACCTGACCAACTATTTGATTAGTTATTATTTAAATCCTCGTGGAAAGTTCTTTGTATCTCGATGAATCTTTCAAACTCGTTTACAACGAATTAATCCATTTTAATTTTCTCGAAAGCCAAACGGGTGTAGATTTCAGAGAATCAAAATAGTTCCACGGACCATAGATCGTCGGTGGCAGCCAACTTATTACCTGGAAGAGTTTAAACTTCCAATTAATTGGTAATCAAAGGATCGTACGAAGTAAGACAGCCAGGAACGAAGTTTCGTGTCGGCCCGCCCGATGATTCCCCGATGGAAAATTATTAAACTCTAACCGATATTGTTCCCAGGGATGGGTGTGTGCATGCATTCGAGTCGAATAATTAATCGCAATCTCGAAAAATGGAAATTTTGCTTAGTAAGTTGATTTACATTTTCAATGAATTATTATTGGAACGAGTTATTGAAAACATCTTTGCAATTTTTAGTAACTCTTTTTTTTTTAAGAAGATTAATAATGGAAGAATTATAATATAAACAATTGTTTTCAAGTTATTTTTATCAAGTTTTATATTTCATTTTCATAATATTAATTAATTTTTTGTAGATATTTATGATGGATATAATTAATTTATATACATAAGAATAATATGATATAATAAATAAAAGTATAAATAAATATTTTCATTATTTATGATTATACGTGATTATACAGGAAGGAAAATCTGTAAGATAAAATTACACTATTTAAAGAGATGAAAGATACAAGTAGTAAAACCATACCAATGCTGAGACAGCGACTTCCCTCTACATTTAGGATAAGTCAGATTAGTAGTTGCTATAAAATTTCCTTACAAAATTCTACATAATTTCTCTAATATAATTTTAGTACTATTCATTTCGAATATTTATTCAACATGAATTTAAACTGAACGAATTTTAATATTTTATATGATAAAACAAATGACTACAACTATCAAGCTGCAAAGCATTAAAAAAACTTTCATTTCAAAATAAATTTGTAATTCTTAATCTTAAACAACTCTGTACGAGAAATGAAATTTTAATAACAAAAAAAAAAAAAAAGGAGCCCATCATATATTCTACATTATCAACACGAACACATACGTAGACAGTTATTTCTCGTGAAAAATTAATGAAATCGAGCTAATTGAACGAAGCCATCTTTTCACAAGCGAGAGTATCGATCCAATGCATTAAAAATGCATGCAAATAAAAAAAAAAAAAAAAAAAAAGACCAGTGCTTAATTGACTGTAATCGATACATACACGGATATTGAAACACGCTTTCTCCTCCGATGATGAAGGTATCGGCGACCAACGACGATCGAATGTCCGCGCGATTAATTAAACAGGACTAATTGGAAATTGCACTTCACGAGCAGCTTCGAGGAATCGAGGTTCGACCATTAACAAAGTTCCTGGGAATTCAAGATCTACGGACGTGAAGTGCGATCTTAAGTAACTGCTCTTGCCAGTTGAAAGCTTGAAATCTTGAAGGGAAGCCTTTAAACTTTAAAACCAGCTTTTCAGCTTCTCGCTCGCGCAACGAGATCATCGTTCTTTGCTGCTTTGTTTGCCACACGTATCGTGCCTTGTATTCAGAAAGTTACTGGAAGATATTAAGTAGATTGTTCCGAGTTTCAAATTTTTGTAATATTATAATTTTTTATAGCGAGAAGCTTTATCAAAAAACATCTGATTATACGCGTAATGTACTTGTATAGATCGATATAAATCTAGTTCTCGTGATATGATTTTAAATGTTAAAGTTAAATAAAGTTATTATATTTTTTCTTGATGAAATTAATATAATAAATTAAATATTAATTTATAAACAGAAGTCAATGGAAATTTAATTAATACTAAAAATATTTTGAACTTACTTACTTTTTATATAATATTCCATTCTTGGATTAAATCTTTCGATTAATTTTAAAATACGTACAAATTTCTAATTTTATTCTTTTGTTTTTAAATTCAATCTTATCCAAGAAATCTTTGATAAACTTCCACCTACATATATCGATCTAAACACGTTCACCGTCCATATATTCAATCGCGAAATGGCCAGTCATAAATCTCTCTTCCTCGTGTAAAATCATCCTTCACCCCTTCACCCGAATTTCAAATCTCACACTCGCAATTTCATCGCGCAAATTGTTCCCTTTTAAAACCCCTGTGGAATGGATTAAAAGAAAAATCTCAGCCATTGCATTCGTAATTAACTCTCTTATCAGTGACAATTCCCTCTTTCTCTCTCTCTCTCTCTCTCTCTCTCTCTCTCTCTCTCTCTCTCTCTCTCTCTCTCTTTGACATCCTAACCCCCGACCTATCAAACTGCCTTACGATTCAACCGGTTGACGAATAATACTCGAACACGAAGGTCCAACATAATGCTCTCTTTCCACATGCAAGTCATTGGTCAAATACGACACAGAGAGTCGTCTCACGCGAATATTGGATTATCTCGCGTGAGGGAAGAGGAATGAACGGATGGAGGAAGATGGTTTAATAGGGGATCGAAGGAAGGTAGCTCGCGGGTCGAAATGCAAATACGTTTCGCGCGTAATTGCAATCTACATGTTTATAAACCTCTTTTGCATGTGATGTGCCTGCTTTTTATTCTATCCCCCGGTCGTTTCGAGACTCGTTCCAGCCCTTGTTACCCGGTTCTCGCACCGTGACGTCAGCAGACTCGCTCGGCTTCGTCATAATTAAGCCTAAATTTAAACCGAAGCGACAATAATTGAGGCCATAATCGGATGGAGAAAAAAAAAAAAAAACAAGCAAGTGGTGTTTTTTCGAATTTTAATACGATTGAATCAAGGATGCACGATTCTTTCTTGAGGAAGATTGATATCTTGAATAAAAGTTCGATTTTGGAATTTGAGTTTAAGGTAAGGAGAATATAGAAAATTGAAGATCAGGATGGTACTTTTCAATGTTCGGTAATTATTTATAATTCATTTTATAAGTTGAATTATATTCTTGATGTGTTTGAAAAAATTACAGCTTAAAAAAGATATTATAAAAATCCTGAATTAACATTAATTCATATTAATTTTAGATTAATTTAAAGTATATTTTTTGTTGACGGCTGTCTCGTGAAAATTTCCCAAAGAATATTATTCTTTTAAATTGAATATGGAACAGTCTTTTAGGGAGAATCGCAATTTTCCAGCTTAAAGAGAACTTAAATTTCATATAAAGGACAAAATATCGAAAAAGAAATAAATATTTTCTACTTTGAAGAAGTTAAAAACTGTGTTTAAAAAGCGAATTTTCAAGTAAGAATATTTCGTGCACTTTAACGGTAAAAGAGATGCTAAGTATACCGTGAAATGTTAGTTAAATATACGTGAAATTTTGAAACTTAAAAAGGAACGCGAAAATTCAATACAAAACCAATGATATCTCTTACGATATAACATTGAATTTCGACGACGAATTTCAACGAATTAGTTTTATTTATTTCACCGATAAATAAATTCATAAAAATTGTTAAATAACTAAAAATCCAAGAATATATTTCGTAACAAAAACAAAGAATATACTCGTAAAATACTCGTTTGTTTTGTATAATTATGTTGTATAAATTTGTATACATCTCAAATGCTATTACGTTTTTTTTGTTTTAGATAAAATGAAAAGATAATTTTATAAATAGTTTCAATTTAAAATTAATATACTATATTTTATAAATATCTTCAATCGAAGAAGTGTTGGATCGTAAAGATCAATCGATTATTATTAGATCTAGAGAAGTTGAAAATATACTCATCGTCCAAATATTTGCAACAGCTTTAACACGTTTGTGAAGTAAACCTTTGACACCATTAACAAACACCGACTGAGCAATATTGTCTCAATAAACGCGCTCCTATTTGCAATAACAAATCTACACGTCGACGTTGTAATCTATTGTTTCAGGCGAAGGACGCCATGAACGAGCTCGAGGGTATCGATCTCACGGATCCCGATCTGCACAAAGCGGCGACGAAAATCCAAGCGAGCTTCCGGGGTCACAAGGTCCGCCAGGAAGTGTTAGGGAATCCAGCGCAGAACGAGCCCAAGAAATAAGAAGGATGAGATTTGAGTGCTGATTTTTTTTCGAAATCGAATCGTCGATAGTATGCCCGATCATGAAAAAAAAAAAAAAAAAAAAAAAAAAAAAAAAAAAGTAAAGAATAAAAAAGAGAGACAACAAAAAAAAGAGAGAGAGAGAGAGAACGAAAAAAACACACAAAAGAGGAAAGTAAATCGAACGATAGAAACAATATAGCAGGGAATCGGGCCTCGGGTCTTTGCTTTTCCATTTGTCGTCGAGTCCGCTTCGTACGATCGCATGCGTATCCTTTCGTTGATCCCACGAAATTTTATGGCATTTTTATCTTTGTATCCGTATCGACACGATTATTCGGGAATCGAATACGTTTCTCGCCGCGATTTGTTTGAATATCGAGCTTACAAGTTCGCATAAACTTTTCGAACACCGATAATCCTCAATGGAACAATTTTCGATCCGTATCGTACTTACGTATTCTTCGTCCTTTCGAAACTATAGTATATTACGAAAGATATGGATAGTATCTATTCTGAATAAAACAAAATGAAACTTCGAATTTATATCTTGATAATTCATATTACGGTACCAATTCACGTTGAAGTGGCACAGTATATTTTAGATTTAGTAATATGCTTATAATACGTTTTAAGATTATATATGCGCACACCACCACCGTGTGAGCGTCGTTTTAATCACTATCCTATATATCGACGTTCTCGAATAGGCATTTCCATCGAATGTATGGAACGAATCCTTCCGATATTTCACGAAAAATAAATTGGAAAATTTAACGAGACGATAACAAGATCACGTTGCTTGCCATAAAACTCAACGAATCATGAAATATTATATTGAATCGAATCGCGGTCAAGTATGAATTCGAAAAAATGCTATTACTTGAAGAAAGTTGTCTCGAGTTTCGTTCAATCGGAATCAAAGGAACGAAAACGAATTAATTGGGTGGAAGGTTGAACAGATCTTTCATAAATTCGTAAAAGAAATGCGGTGGGCGCGTTTCCTCGAGCAGGAAACCGATTATTCGAATCGATTTAATCGCACGTATACTCGATACGAAAGTTTTCGTTTAATCAGCCGCTAGATTCGCATTCGTGCGTTCGAAATGAACACACGATCGATAAATTCTCTCGTTCATCGTTAACACGAAATTTATCATGGTGGTTGACAATATTCACCAAGGATTGTTTGCGATCGTGAACGCCGATATATCGAGGTTGATTAAAAATTTCGATGGCAGGGGTTACGGATGTGCCACCGCTGCGTTCTATTCCTCCCTTGTATAATTTTAACTGTACGAACCGTCGTCGAGACTCGACGATTCGGCCATTCGAATCGTCCGTGGATTTCGTGCGAAGATTCGCGAACGAGAACAGTGAAAAATTACAAGCATCGAATAATTAATTAATAACCCATTCTCGGTATGGAGAGGATAGAGTGCAGGCATTTACTTGTGAATGAATTGATTCGAAGAAATGATAGCAGTTGCAATCTTTGATAATCATTCGAAAGTCGATCGTATTTCTTTCCTTTTCGGAATAATATCACGTGTAATATCGTGTTCACATCGATAAGTTCGCGTTATAACGAATCGATTGAATTCGTCGTTTTTATTCATTACATCGCTTAATGTAAGTCCAATTCAAATAATAACGAAGTATGTGTACATGCACGTATGATAATGTGTACGATATGATTACAAAATCAATGGAGGATCAATTTGGTCGAAAAAAAGGAAATTAATAACCGGCAAAACGGCGCATGTCTGAGGCAAACAACATGTTTAATCGATAAACGTGTCGTTGAAGTTATATCGTTTTAACTTTTAAGGATGTCCATCCCGTCACATTGGTATTGCGAGTTATTTTTCGATGACTAGAGGCATATATTTTTACGCGTTAGATCGCATCGTAACGACACATGATTATGGATACATATATAAAACATAAGACGCGCATTTATACGCATATATACGCAGGCACAGATGCTTTCACAACCCCGTAGACGCAATAATTCGACATAAAAAGAGGCTTCGAGCGGCCCGGTCGAACTGCCATGTAACGGGTGCGCGTTTCGTATCGTTCTATTTTTATCTAGTCTATCTTCCTTCGATTTTGTTCCCGTCGAATTTACCAGTAGAAGAAGTATACGTTGTTTTTAGCAGGCCTAAAAACGTTACTGCTGCTTTTTACGATCGTTAAGAGCACTCGTTCTTCTCCTTTATTTCGCTCCTCTTTTGCGCTGTTCTCTAGAACTTCCTGATTCTTTTTTATCCTGAATGATTGACTATCGATCGTTGAAAAAGGGCACAAAGAAATTAAAGTTTGGACATACGTGGTAATTTATTCGATGAAAATTATTTTTTATTCCTTCGAGGAAAGGAATGGCGATATATGTATTATAATTAGACGCACCATTCAAAATAATTAAAAGACTCTGTGTTTAACTGTTTATACCCAATATATTTTATAAATTCCCTTTAAATAAGACATAAGTATTATATCGAAAATGCTACGTTTCCCCTATATTTAATATTAATGTTCGATTTATTTTTGTCAAACGATTAGAAATTTTTGAACTATTTTGAACAGAACACCTGATTAATTAGCTACAAAATAAACTTATAGCATTATAATATTATTATTGTATATTATACATCGTTTCGTCCTATAAAGCATTCACTGTGTCAAAAAATTTATAAAATATTTAATTATTGTCAAAAAATATTATTTTAGAATAATTCTATTCAGATATTATATATTGTATTATTTAAACTATACAAATTTGACTAGCTAATTTCTTTGTTTCATACGAATATCTAAGAATGAAATGAAGAAAATTCTTTTACAAAACTATTTCTTTAAATATAATATACTCTTGATATTAAATGTGCAAACCTGTTATGTTATCTTCTCAGTCTCATTCACGACCTAATTGTTGATATTAATTGCTGTTTATTTCTTCTGTAAATATTTTCAATGTGCATCACCGATTCCTGTTATGCATTGTCACGTACCGCAATGTTTCTATCGGACATTATGCAAAGCATAATTGTATGTACTTTCTACTTGTATGAAAGACAATTATTATGTGCACATAATATATCTTTGGAAATATATCACACAAATTTTTGCACTTGTTTCTGATAACTCTTATATTGAAATATCTTTGTGAAAAATTTATCAAAAAGTTGTTATAATAAACAAATTCTGAAAGCAATTTCGAATTAAAGTTAAATGCGGTTCAGAAAACTGAAAATCCGCAGAGTTCGATTCTGTACAGTATTCTCATATGTATTAAAATACATATTATGAAGAAAATTTGAATATTATGCAATATATCATTATTATATCAGTAAAACTTTATGTTGAGAAGTGAATCTCTTAAATTTCTTTTTATTATAATTGAATTTCATCCACATTCACATATTTTCCAATTAAAACAATATGAAATCAATCTATAAATAGTAGATATTAAAGAAGTTTTGCACTTGTCACTGTGCATATAAAAGATATTTTTCAATTTCTTACAATTTCATACATTTTCACTTATCTGTCAATCTGATAAACAATGGAAAAAGAAAGTATTGCTTGAATCACGCTTTTCGAATTTTTCGCGTGTAATTAAACGTTTCTAAACATCATTCATGCTCAGTTCCAATTTTCTTGCATTTTCACATTACCTCATAAGGTCGTTTGTAGAAAGCTAATAAAAATATTGCTATCGTTGAAAATGTCTATGAAACTCGACATATAATGAATCGAACATCTAAATATAATTTATTTCTAATCGTGAACAACCAAAGAAAAAAATATTTGATAATAATTGAAAGCCGATTCACACTGCGACACGTCGAGTCTCGGCAATACATGCTAAAATATATCTATATAGAGAAGGATTTAATATATTGAATCTATTTATAATATTATATTCCTGTTATAATAATATTTGTATGCTACAATAAGAGCCTCCTATATGAATATTATTATAATTCACATTCTATACATATACATATATTAATACTATTAATATATTATATTTATATTATATATTATATGTGTATAATAATATTAATACATTGTCAAATATATAAATATTTATGATCCATCAACGACATGGCAACTGCATTTTACTATTGCCGCCTAGTGGGGATCGGCTTTATATTTTCGCAAAAGAATTATTTTTCTTTTGCATAAGAATTTATTTTTTAATATTTCAATCAAAGATATAAATATCGTGAATACTTTTATAAATCGAAAATGAATAGTGCAAAATTGAAATCGGGCATTCTACAATGTTGTGTATTCAAATAAAAAAATTATATATTTCCAAGACAATTATCCTTGGAAAGAAATACTTACTTGGAAGTAAATGACAGATAATTTTATTTGCTCTAAGCAAAATTGTTGTGTAAAAGGATTCGTACTATCGAAGAACCGATTTAAAATATTTAAATATTTTGAAGCTTTTGTAGTTGCTGGAAGTGTCTATCGATGCGTATGGTTAGCGATTACGAGGTTAAGAATTAATGGAGAAGATTGTTGTAATAAATTATAGGCATTTTCTTCGGTATGTGACGTTACCACACAAATATAGATTAGTAACGCACAAAATGTTACAGTAAATTGTATTCTAAGGATGTAACAAATAATTGTAATGTTTAAACGAGCAGTAACCGTATATGTAATCTGTTTGTTTAAAATAAATACCCATTAAGTGTACAAAATAACAATTCCGACCTATACTGTGAAAAATTAATAGAAATACACCTCTAATTAAAATAATTACTTTGGATTAATTTTTTTATTCTTTGTTAATTATAGATATCCATACCATATATATAATATTTATAATGAATAAATTATAGATAAATTATACATGCAAAATGCAATTAAATATATAATAAATTTTTTTTTAAATATAAAATTTAATAAAGATGGTGTTCCTTTGATTACTTTCATATACGGCAGATGTCACTCCTGTCGCTATAAAGTGAATCATCAGTTAATATTTGTTTCGTGCCATGTATTTCTAATTGTTAAATTATTTTACACTGTGCTTATTTTATAATATAAAATTTTGTGCTACATTGGAAAGAATATTTTTTATTTGAATTTTTTGAAGTTTAATTCGTAATGGGTAGAAGATATTATTGTGAATATTGTGACAGATCGTTTAAGGATGACCCAGAAGCCAGAAAAAAACATCTTTCAAGTTTGCAACATGCGAAAAATCGTGCAGATCATTATAATATGTTCAAAGGTAATTATATTTATTAAAAATAATTATATTTATTAATTTTTTATTGATAAAATATTTCGAAGATTTGATAAAATGTATATATCGATCATAACCTCAAAATCACTTGTTTTAATATTACTAATATAAATTTTATTTTTTTTTTATAGATCCAGAAATTATTTTAAGGGAAGAATCTACAAAGATACCATGTAAATGGTATTTAACTAATGGTGAATGTGCATTTGGTCTTGGTTGCAGATATTCCCATTATACTCCTCCTATGATATGGGAACTTCAACGTCTTGGTACTATTCATAATAATTCAATGATAAATAAAAAGAATATCGCACAATATTTTTATATAATTTTTTTTTTACAGTTGCTATGAAAAATCAATCAAAATTGAATATAAATCTTGAAAATGGCTGGCCAAATCCTGACGACATAATTAAAGAATATTTTGAGAATAATACAAGCGCAAGCACTACAGATGATTTTACATATCCTAATTGGCATAGACCATCAGAGCTACGTGATTATTCTATGCTATCACCATCGCTATGGCCTATTACACCTGAAAGTTTAGCAAATACTACGAGATTTGAAGAATGGGGTTAAAAATGTAAGGAATATAACGTTCCTTGTTAAATTAAATGAAAATACATATATTTAAAACTCATCCAAAAGAGTAAATAATATATGATATATAAACAATTTAAATATATAGTTTTTCAAAAAACTGAATATTTTGTTAATAAATGAACATATAAAATTAGGAAATGTGTTCAATCTTTTAAATACTAAATATTATTGATAATATTATACTTGTAATAATATTATTTATTTAATAATTAAAATAAAAATTAGGAAGAAAACAAATAGTTTTTTGGTATTTTTTTTGATTAAACAGATGCACCATCTTACGAGGCAAGAATGAATCAGACTCGGTACTGTTCGGTATTTGTCGGTAACTTCCGTGACTACCATCTGTCCTCCATCATCCCCTCCACCAATCACCGATCAGAAAGGCGAGCACACAATGAACTCCGGTACACCGTCACACAGTAGCGAAGCACCCGTTGCCACGATAGTTTGGCATTTTAACGTCGTGTTCGGCGCGCCGCCGTGTCGTTTCAATTTAAAATCAAATTTAGTGTATGTTTGCGAGTCGAGAACTGTGTTACGATTATGAGATTGACTCGATTGCGTGACTCGTGTGAATTTTCGTTGGTGTGCCAATCAGAAAGTGTTTGAAACTTCTCAGTGCCTCGGCACGGCGGGACGCCGGCCTTCGATCAGCCGACTGGATTTTCGATCGCCACTCCGGATCATCTCAATCGCACCGGTGAGTCTATATAAATATGTTTTTTTTCAATATGCATGTTAAATCGTCAATTAAATCTCGTTCCTGCTATTTCATGAAAGATATAATAGAATTAAGTTTAAACGAAGCACGTGATTCGATAGAGAGCGAAAACGTTCACAGCTATAAGAAAAGATTGTCGTGATTTCTTGCGACCATAAATAGAGATAGAGATAGGACGAGGAAAGTATTCAGGTATACAAAAAACATTACCTAGAAAGAATTTTCGAACATCTGTGCCTGTGGAAAATATTTAGATTCGCGAAAGTGTAAAATTGTAAACAGAGGCCAACACTGATTTGACAAGATGATGCGTCATTCAAATACAAATAATATACATATAATTCCATGATTATTATTTCTCTTCGTATTTTCGCTTGGTTACAGAATTTAAAGATAAAACGAAGAATTTAAATACAATAGATTTCGATTAGTTTGCGCAACCGGAACGATTTTATTGTCGTTAACAATATATCATCTTCTTCGGATGAGATGTGGTTTTTCTTTTTTTTTTCCTTTTTCATATTATAAGATTATTATTCACTTTTGTTATGAGAACATATGAGCTTTAAATCATATAACCATATGCATAAAAAAATCGTTTCGCTTCGCATAAAAGAGAGCTCTGAATTAATTCTCCAATATGAATCGTGTGAATTTATGTATATAATATTTGCGTTCTATTATATATTGATAACTAAGAAAGTTATTTAACCAGTAACTTATATTTATGAATTGCTACGTAATTATTGATTATTTTTATAATTACAGTTGTAAGTTTGAATTACAACATTATTACAGTTCATCAGATGGCAGCCAAATTAAAGGAGTCGCCATTATAGTAATTGGTTAAGAGATAATATTTATTTCACGATCATCATGATACCACGTTTTCTCATTTAAACAGTTTGAGATTCGATATTCAAATCGGTTATTATAGCAAGGGAAATCGGTTCTTACGTATGATGATATCCTTTGATAATGTATGCATTATCACGCGTATGATAATATATTGATATTGAATATCAAATTGATTTAACCCAAACATTATTCTTGTTAATATAGATATAAAATAATTTATATTTTCTATGATATTATTCCAAAAAAAAACACGTAGCTCTCCTCGCATTCGATAATATCAAATATTTAATATTTTAATAATTAAATAACAATCGAAAAGATAAACATAATTGGACGTAATGTGTGCATGAACTTGAACGATACCGAGAAAATGATTCAAACATAGTGGATACAGATTCACAGACATTACATCACTGATATCGTTTCCGCCATAACGTCCACGAAGTCTCGTTGTTGCAAAAAGGTTAAATGTAGTGTGACGACCGGGTGGCAACGACCTGCCCGCCATAGACGAGAGAGTGGAGCTACGTGTAGTCGCGTCACGATTCTTACCGGAGGTCGTGACCTTGTCGATATGGGGAATAATGGTGCGTTTGCCTGCACGAGGGCAGGATCTTCCCTATGAGTCAGTTTCCCGATCGATTTCACGCGTGCATCAGCGTCCATTGTCGCGTTCCGTGCGTAGCACACAATGGACTTGTCTATTTTGGAGCAGCTGCGCGGCCCTCTTTCGAACAATGCGGCCCAGAGAGAGAGCAGCCGAACGTGTATACGCCGAACCGGCCATTTTTCGATCTTACTTTTCGTAGAATCACGACTTCATACTTCATACTGGACTAGTCGGGTATTGCGATCGATATTTCTGGCATTAGAATAATTTGCAATTATATTTTTAATGATTTTACTAAGAAAGATGTAAGCGATGAAATTTTTTATTTCAGAAAATTTTATGCGCTTACGAATATTAGAACTCTATTCATAAAGGCTTAGAAATGCACGGACAGTATATGTTATGTCGTTAATTCGTCACGAGAGTTAGAATGGAGTAATATATAATATAGTCAAATATAATTCGAATAAATTTACTGATTCAAATAAATTGATATACAGTTTTTAAAGAATAGTATATAAAATCTAGAGATAACAAATAATCATTACATTCGGACATTTCATTTAAAAATTTATCAAATATCTGAAACATTAAACGTGGTAATTCCATTGGAACATTAATCTCGTAAAAACAATCTTCAGACGAAACGATCTTAAATCGAAGTTAATTTCTTGCATGACGTCTACCGTAGAACTAATTCCCCTTCGACACACGTTATAGTATATCTAATCGACGACTAATCTTCACAAGGACAATACGCACATCCGATTCTAAACGATCGATAACTTCGTATAGAGAAGTCTCGATCTGCCCGTAGATTTAATACGACGCAGAAGCATTTCGTTCGTCTGCACCACGAGTACGATCTGTAAAAACGAGCCACCCAGCAATTTAACGTCATTTATTTCTATTGCCTTTATGTGGGCCTATTATGTCACGCGATTTCTCCCCGCCCTTTATCGCGTGGCAACTTGTACAATTCGCGCATATATACCGCCTTTCGTAAGAGTCAATTGCGAGGTAATTTTTCAAATTGCCAAACATTCGAGAATCGATGAACACTTCGCAGTACGGAGTCGTTTTACACTCCGTAATCGATTGTAGACGGTGCATTGTTGTTTTCGATCCATTGAAAGATCGATACGCGTGATATCGTGATTGATAAACAACGACATTCATAGAATTATTTTTCCATAGCTGCTCGAGGCGAAGAATTTTTTGATCAGTATTCATGGATATCGCGATACAGTGAAATTCCATTTTATTGGAGCGAAATTTTAGTTCGCGTTCGCGCTTGATCGACCTATTTGAAAACAGTGACGCATCGTATGCAGATCTCGTTCAATCTAAATAAAATAATGACGTCATGTGAAAGAATTCGTGTTATGAACAGAAACAAATATCAGTTTCTGAGGATTGTTCTTTAGAATCGATGTTGAATAGATCAGACAATCTTCTGTCGATAGAATTCATTTGTACGAAACTTATATTTGTTCGATAAATTATAAACTTATATAGATTATAGCATAGGAATATAATATAGGAATTTGGAAAATGTGCCTAATTTTTATTGGATTTCTATTTGGCACATGTCGCATATATTTGTCACACAAAATTAGATAGTTAATATTTGTCAATAATTTTTAGGATTTTTAGGATTTAAGGTTTTTATAATTTTTCTATCACATGACTGACATGATTGAAATATAGAATTCCAATTTGAAAATTAGATTCAGTTGTTTTTTTTTTTAATTTATTATAATCGGTATTGCATTGCATTCATAATTGAAAATTTTCGAATTAAATTGAATAATATATAGAAGACTACAGAAGACTCATTGCGATGAGAGATTTTAAATCGTTCCTATCCTGTAACTATTGTTATTATTGTTATGTAATACATTATTGCGCAAATCACGTAATAATAGATGAATATATAAGATATAGTTTCCTTTAATGTCATTTTATGGTATTTTACATCATTAGTATCAGATTTTCAAATTTTTCTGCATTTTAAAATTCATTATATGAAAGATATATAAAAATTTATTGTAAAAATAAATCGTAGAAAAATAATAACGTAGAGAAAAAATAGAAACATAATAAAAGTAATTGGAAAAAAGCTATAGTTCTCGGTTTCACGAATTTTATTAAAAGGTTTTCAGATAGTGTATATACTTTACAACTTGGACATTTCAATCACGCTTAAGCGCATGTTCCTACATAACTAAACAGAGTCTTTTAAAATTAACTAACAACAAAAGATACTTCGGTAAATTAAATCACGTTTTACAAAAAATTTTATTTTATTTTATTTTTTTTTAAATTTAAAGTTATACGGATTTTTAATATATTAAAAAATTTTCAAATTTATAATTTTCCTATTTGAAGAATTCTTCTCTCAGATTATTACAAGAACAATATCATCATTTTATTTTTATATATCTATCAATAAAGAAAATTATTATTACAATTAGATTTAAAAATTATAATTTTATTTTTTTATTTTAATTTATTTATTTTCGTTTTGAACGAACGAAAAAGCGAAAGTATAGTAAATGAAAAGCGTGAATAGATAGTATCGAGTGAAAAAGTGAAATTACATTCATCCATGCTGACATTCCAAAAATTCTAACCGGTTCTCGAAGTCGTCTGGGAAAGATATGCGCCACGCGTGTTCCGGAAGAGTTAATAGAATCCGCAGACGGTTCTCCATTCTTTTTTCCGCGTTTAAACGAACGAGCGTGGAATTTCGCAGCTTCCGTCGCGCAACTCGCGAGAAATCCACACTATGGTTCGAATAAATTAAGTTTATTGTCTTCACGAAACCACAATTTTAAAAGATCTAAGTTAGAACGAGTTAAACGTGGATCGTTTATTGTGCAAACGTGATGTAAATCAATTTTTTTTCACGCGTTAGATAGATATTTAAAAATTTATCCAAGGAAGTATCCAAATCGATTCAAAAATATTGTAGTTTCTGCACATTAATTTAATAATTTGATGAGAATTATATCGAATCAAATATGCATATTACTTCAATTAATTTACATTATTTTCATAATTATTGAATTGTTCAGTTTGTTAAATTTGCAAGTTAAGTTGGATAAATTACTTTATACTTCACTACTGTTATAGCTAGATTAATTAGAAGAGATTTATATCTTTTAGGAACTGTAAGAGATGTTTTGACCTAGTTCACTTAGCGTTT